AAGACCTGCTCTCCAGTCTCAATGTCCATATTATGGACGCTACTGTGTAGTGACTGAAGTTCCTCTGGACTCTCTGCTCAGCCTCCCTCAGCGTCAGGCTGTGGTGTTTGACAGTCCACCAAAGTGGCCCTGATGTCATCTGAAATATGTGTCTGTCCATCACCAGGTCTTCATTGTTCTGACCCTCTTCCTCCACCTCCTCACTGTCTTCCTCTTTCTCTCACTTTCACTGCTTCCCTGTTTGCAAAGTTCTCACAGAAGCTCACCTGAGGTCTGTCTGTAGCATTAAGGCTCAGGTGGTGCAAAATTCAGGTTTGTTTTGCGGTTTGAAAAAGTAGCGTTGTGTAGTTTTTGCAAGTGTGTGTTGTAAAATTGAAAACAAAGTTTAAAGTAGAAAATGTGTTTGTACCTTTGGGTCCTTTTTTTAAGGCATGGCTTCAAACGTTAAGGTTTTGATGCTTTGGTCAGTTTTAGTGTGTAAGCATTTGCAAAAAAACTGTAATGCCCTACAAAACTTCTCAAAAGGTACAAAAATACTTGATATTTAAAGGTAAACTCTCCACACTCCATCGTTCCGTTTTTACAGATACAATATTAAAATTGAAGACTACAGAGTAGTCACGTTTGGCAAGGCTCAAAGCATAATCTTTATGAATAGCAAAGAAAACAACAAGTTTGCTTTTGCACCTTTTTGGTGAAACAGAGTCAGACTGAGCAGACTGAGCAGACACATCGTCAAACACAAATGAACTAAAAAGTACAGAGGAGCTGACAATGTCAGGGTTAATATGCCTGTTTCAGTGGAATAATGATTTGAGTTATAATTTCAGACATCAGCCGTCAGGGATTATTGCTTTTGTTGTGTTTCTCTCCTTCCATTACAGGAAGCTGTAGAAGGTTTCTGATATACAATAAAACCACAGAGCTTTTATTCTGCAAATTATAGAAAGGAATAATAGACACACAAAAATGAATATCTGAGATATGTGCTGATTGAAAATGACAGGAGAAATGTCACATGTTGCACCGTAAAGCAGGTGCATTGTATGAGTTTGGCAGACACATCATAAGAAAGGGCGTGGTGGAGGTGGTGACACATTCTATGTCATTCCAGCTCAGATGTGTCTAAACTGCATTAACAAGATTAATGTGAATCTCTCTGTTTAAGCTTGTAACCAACATTGGCTGGGGATATAATGGAATGAGTTGTGTAACCAGAGCTGTGAATGGAAGGATGTTTGGAAATGTGAATAAATAGCTCTGTGATGTGAGAGAGACATGGGGAGTAATTTAAGATCTGAAATCTTGTCTTACAGCTGTGTATTTTTGTCTCACCGCACAGCTGTGAGTACAAGAAAAAGACTGATGTCATGAAGAGACAAGTAAACTCTCTCACTGAGGGGTGTGCAATCTGCCAGGCATCTACAACAGAACAATCCATTGTCCATTTCCTTAATGTACCAGATGCCAGACGTTGATCCCAGCTCAGTCCAAAGAGAGTTGCCATACTGCATTAAAGTCACCGCCTATTATTGGAGCAAATTCCAATAATTCAAGTATTGTATTCATTAAGTAGTTATGGAATTCAGCATCAACTTTATTTGGTGCATATGCTATTTTTGTCCCATTTAGTACTGTTTTTACGTAAGCAACTCTTCCTTCAGATCCCAGAGCCGTACACTGAGTCGTTTGGCCACCTCTATTCTTCTTTATTTCAAGAAGATGCTCACACATCCCTCTTTTATTAGAGACTTGACCAAATATGGGGCGTAGGCTATCTATAAGTAAACCCCTGGGTTATTTTTTCATAAACCCTAGGATATTATCCTTTATTTTCCATTTGTATAGTTATGTAATATTCTATAATATGTTATAGAGTGTTTAAATGTGTGTAACCATTTACATGGGGAGTAGTGTAAATTACCACGACTTTGAATGTAACATAAAAAGTTTGTTTGTAAGGTACAGTCGTCTTCACGTGGTGAAGAGAGTGAGAAAACCTAACCTGTTTATTTTATTCTCACGTACTATATTGCTATGTTGTATCCTACCTTTCTATTGGCCAATTATAAAGCAACGTCAAGTTCCTTGGTTGCTGATTGGCCAGGAGGCGGGAGAAAAGCGAGTGGTGGGACACAATAGTTTGTGAGAGCAGTTGATCAGACTTAGCTACCTCGTTGCTGCTAGGCAACAGCTGAGAAAAAAGACTAATTGTCAAATGTGTAAACGAGGCGTTATCGTTGTCAATGTGCTTAACAGAGTGCAGTATGAACATAACGAATCTTAGTGAGATAAACATTGACATGACATGACATTTTGATTAACTGCCGCGTTTTCAGCGTGCTGAAATAGGTGTGTGTTTCCTCTGAGTTACAAGCACGCGCACGGTCTTATTCAGCTTGAGTGCTATCCGCTTGCTAGCACCTGGGTGGATATCAGCCCGACGACAAGCGAGAGGAGACCAGATAGAGCACTGGGTGACCAGGTAAAACCCAGCTGCACCTCTGGCTACGAGGGAGGAGATACCTTCTTCATACACGGTCAAGGACTGGTGAGGGGAGCAACCCGCTGGGTTTCTTATGGACAGAGGTAGTCTGAACTGTGAGTAACCCTGTTATGAAGCGTGGCCACAGTCAGCGGCTGCCATCTTTAACGTGGCCCAACGCACACCAGCCACGAACAGGCCTGTACCGTGAGGTTTAATTGTATTTCACTGCGGGCTGTTTGTTTTGCTTTTTCAGTGTGGAACCAAAAATATTGAATGTGTTTATTTATGGTTTGAATGTTTCATGGTTCATTATGTAGTTAAATGTACCTTAGAATCAGTAAAAGAGTAAAATAGATGTTAAACGAGTTAATGAATAATTAAAAGAGTAACAGAATAATTAAAGGTTTTTATGTGCTTTAACTCATGGTTTTGTGTTTAGCAACAGTGTTAGCTTGTATTTTAGACTATACTTCCCAACAGAGACAAGAGGGTGAACAATTTGACTGTTTATTTGTTTGCTTTTACTGTGATCTTCCTATACAAGGTGTTTAGGCTCCAACCATATTTTAATGGTGCAGTCATTGAATATATATTTTGTATCAATGTGAAGTGAAAGAGACAGAGAGAGGAAGACTGCTTAACCATTTTGTTCTTAATTCTGACAATTCCCTGTTTGTTTAAAGAAATTCCTGTTTTGGTTCCTTGGGCAGCTTTTATCTTTTTGTCCTCCTGGAAATTTACATCTATGTCTGCTCAAAAAGTTCTTTATAGAAACTCTATGTCCTGCAGTTAATTTCATTATCAGATGAAAATGACGTTGGATGTGTCTTGCCTATGTTACGTTAGGCACTTTTATTGAGAGGTTAGACCGTAACTTGAAAGCTCCTGGAAGTCTTTGTGGAAATTTAGTCAACCCTACATGTGAGCCAGCCTTTTCTGAAGAAAGAATGCAAAAGAAAGATGTAATCTGACAGGCATAAAGTTATAATAAATAAAATATGGTTGGAAAGCCCCTGGAGATAATGGTGTCCAAAAAGCAGGTGCAGGGAAAGTACCAGGCAAGGGTATAGGAGGAGGATTTCTGTGTCCTGTATTTATTCAATACAAGACGCAGCACTTTATTTTCAAATACAGGACGGTCCTGTGTTATATGTGACGGGTGGAAACCCTAGCCACTCTGGTTGTTGTAGTGCTTTATTTATTTGTAGCCCTGTTTCAGTTTTATACCTTTTCCCGGACCTGTTTCCTGGTGTGGAAAATGTTGAGCTCGCTTGCTCGCTGCAGACTTTTAAACATGGTGGGTGAAATAAAATGCAGCGAATACTTGACCAGTCAGAAATGTTGGGCCCTGCAGACCCCACCCCCCCCAAAGTTCCTGAACCTTTGGAAAGTACTACCCTCTGACCAGGTACCTTTTTGGCAGTCGATCAATTACCATTGAACTATTCTTACACCCTGGTGCCTGCGGTCGAAACATGCATAGTTCCTCAAAAGGTTCCTGGTTCCTGGGGAAAGTTCCTGCGGTGAAAACTTGGCCTTGGATGATGTTTTAGCTGTCTGTTTTCAATTCTACCACAGGTGAAGAGCTCAGGTTTATCTCTTGTGAAAGAATAAACTCTATTGCATTGAACTCTGCCCATCTCCAGTGAATTATTTGTGCTCATTGGGACTCCAGTAAATGTAAGTTAAGTGTTGGTGAAGAAGTTCAGACTTAGACTCTGGCCCAGACCTGGACTTCTGACCTCCAACAACCTTTGTCTGTATTTTCAGTAGTAACTCCAGTGGCTACATGTTTGATATTCAGTAAAACCCTAGCACACAAACACACAGGTCGCTCTTAAAAATAATCCCAGTGCATTTGTGAAATAAAGATCTCAGTAGGATACAAACAGTACTGAGACATGTTTCGGTTTCAAACAGGAGACTGACTGATCAGGCTCCTTCTAGATTGTACTGGGCTGCCTATGAGGAGCCAAGCCGACCTGGTTGGTCCCCTAATGTCTTTGGATACTTTTTGAATTGCTAGAGATATTTAAAGGTCCTGGAGGATAAATCCTAATGACCTTGGTGATCCCTTTGTCTCGCATCAGAAGGCCAAAGTTTTCAGTTATTCAGTGAAATATCTGTTAAATATCTGTTATTTAAACCTGCTTAGCAGATTGCAGTGTTAAGTTACAGGGTTCAGGAGGTGGACAGCTTCAGGATATGTGCTATTCTGAAACACGTTCTGGTCTTCATGCTTCCTACTCTTTTGTGAGAAGGAAGGAAATTACAAAGGTTAACAGCCTGGTGAGAGGGCCTTTTTTCTGTAATCTAACTTTATAGATTTGAATCTAACCTTATAGATGTAATTGCCCACTAGACATGGGCAATCGCATCTAATAATTCTGGATGCACCACTTTGTCCATCTGTCTCATGTCCTCAGCTGACATATTGCATAGGTAAGGATGCTCCCCACTGTTGCTCTACAGAACTGCAGAATACTATTCCTGGATATACCACACAATCTCATACATGATCAATCATTTAATTCTATTTATAACAAAGTGATTCATCCAACAACACAAACTGCTGCCTAATGTACATTAACAAGATCTTGATCTGAGGCAAATTAATTCCCCAGAGGGAAACAGCCTGTTAATTAACAGGAGTGATAACCATTGGAGCTGAGTTATTGCCCTCACGTTCGGTGCAGGGGTTTAAGTACGGGTGTAACTTCTTCTTGGGAAACCTGCAACAGGTAAAGGAGTAGATATGGGCCTTACTCCCAATATCATAAAAACAGACCTCTCCCTCCTCATGGTCTATAAACACTCCGACCTTCTCTGGTGTCTTTGGGAGATTAATCTCCACTGGGGGGCGGTCACAAGCTATTATTTTCGTCTCGCTCCTCAGCATCAGGACAACGTAGCCATTGCTCAGACGCACATCGGTTTGGTGTTTCCTGTCAACTGTTTCCAAGGCAACCCCAATGTCCCACGCAGACTTGCCTTCCACTTGCACCTTGGAACACAGAAAATGCTTTGTAATGAACAATAATGTACTCCTGTACAAAATTTGTTCACTGCATTTGGGTGCAAACCAGAATCAGGCAGAATAAAAAAAAAAGAGCCCTGTTTTCTGTCTTTCTATTACTGAGTCTTAATAATCAACAATGCCACCTGTGTCACTGAGGGTATTTCCTCAGAAATGTCCTCCTGTCCTCTGGTAGGTAGTAGAGGAGCATCAAAAGTTGGACAAACAGACCTAAGAAAAGTTTCATCCCCCATCCCCTGGGCCATCAGAGCTCTGATCTGCTGACCTATGTTAATCATCACCGTATTTTAATATTCACTAGTCAGAATAGCTACTCAGCAAAGCGCTTTTCTGTCTATTTTAAGTATTTATTATATTTGTAAGTGCAATACTCTTTTCCATGCAATATTCTTTTGTGTCCTTTTGTCTGTGTTTGTGTACATTTTATATTTTGTACAATGACAAAGGTTTTCTATTCTATTCAATACTATTATTCTTTTTGCACTTGAGTAGCTGTAGCTATCACAGCAGCAGTAGTAGTTTTATATTTGTTTCACCTGCAGTCTCTGAGTTGAGAGAGACACTGAGCGCAATTACCACAATGATTGCACATCAGCACTAACTTCATGAATCATTTAACTCAGGTTTGCCAGTCAATATTACAAGTGACTGGAAAAAAAAACATTATTTCTTTGGGAAAATTAGTAAAAAGGTGTGAATCAAGCTTAAATATTGTCATTGCTTAAATACTGTTGCTTAGTGGCCATGCTTGAAGCTAACATGTTGAACATTCACACAAAATAACTAAAAGCATAAGAAAATATGAAAGTGAAATTCCACTGACCTCAAAGTAGAAGGCACCAGAGGAATAGCCTTCTTTTCCCAGAACACCAAGGAGAGGCTCAAACCTCTCTGGGATTTCTGGCAGGTTCTGAGGAGCTTCTCCATATCTCACTTGTTTCCCATCTTTGGACACAACCAGGACACGGTTTGCAGTGTTGGAGTCCAAAGTTACATCCACTGGCAGGGAGCACAAGGTGAATAATTTGTGAACACAGACAAGAGGAGGATTCATGTATTCAGAAGTAATGAAAGATAAGATTTACCTGCATATCCCTGAATTCTACTTATCTCTGTAAGGACATTAATGAAAAATCAATAACAGTAAATAAACCAAGAATAAATCAACACTTGACTGGGAACACGGTCAAATGACTTACCTTTTGCAATCAGTCCTTTCCCTTCACTAGTCGACTCATTGCAAAGTTCTCTTAGCAACTTAGTGACAGCGCTTCGCACAGTCCCCACTGCTGAATCACTGTAGACACTGATCTCAGACCAGTCTTCTGTTTTGGGTGGGTCACTCAGAGAGTGTAAACTCTGTAGTGAGAATGCAGGACAAATACTTCAGCTGCTGTGATGTGTGCATGCAGCAAGACATGATTATGTGAATTGTAAATATTTGGTTCTACAAAAAAAAAATCCCTGTTGGCAAATTTGAATGGCAATTGTCTTATAAACAACTCTTTAGAAGAAGAGGTAGAGAAATGCAGCAGAGGACCTGTAGAAGACGGAGGTCATCATCCATTTGAGAGAGCTGCTCCAGCTCATTTTGTCTTTCCTCCAGGTCACTCATTTCCTCTTGAAGCTTCTCTGTCATAGACTCTCTGCGATTTTCAGCTTTTTTGCGCAGCAAGTCGAGCGCAGCCACAAGTCCTGACTTGTTTATCTTCACCAGTTGTTCGAAGTGATTGAAGATCCTCTGGACGTCTCCCATGTCTGTCCTTTTGTTTTTCTGTGTACATGAGAAAGTTTAATGTAAATCCAGTGTCCTTTCAGCTCTGTTTTGCTCTCCACAAACTGAATGAAATGTCCAGCTCTTATTGTAACGGGGATGCCTTTAGGACCCTGGGGAAGATTATTGAGGGGACAACGGATGTAGCACTCTCTCTCTCTCCTACATGTCTGTGGCTGGCAAAGTGCAGCATGGTGCAGACAACGGTATGAGGGACACCGAACATTTTGTTTTGCAGTAGGCAAATTTTATTGTAATATCGTATGCCACTAATCACCTTAGTTGGGCTATTTTAAAAAAAAAAAAAACATTCAAATAATCAATGTGGTTTTTATTTCTATCATAGTTCCCAGTCATCTGTTTGTCAAACATGGTGATCAGTGTATCTTAGTGTATTTTTTTTTCCATTAGTATTGGTCGTCGTGATATTAAGCACGCTGCAGCTCTGGGCACTGAAATGAGTTAATGGTACAGCATATTGAGTTGATAATTTAATGAAAACATTGTTCCTAAAATGTGCCAAGCTGAACTAATAAGTTTACAAACGATGAACGTTTTACGACAGTTTTACGGCATGCCACATGACACCTCCATAGACATGACCTACTACTGCTGAAGCCAGTTTGTTTGAGCATTTGAAGCAGTTTTATGAACAGACAAGTGAAGACTCAGACGGATTATATTTATATACGGATTTAAAATGTAACTAATGTCTGTGATTCTTAAGTGGTGTACAATAATTCATTTAGTATGGGAGTGGCAATGATTCAGGGCTGGTGATGGATGGGTAGAAGGAGGTTCTATTGAAAGAGAATAGCAGCCTATTTACTTAAAAAAAACAGATCAAATGAACGTGTTTATCGAGCAAAGGACAGGGATGACACAGCAAAATGATTAGTTTAGGCTATTATGTTCAAATTTCTTTTACAGCTAACTTTGACTGTTGCTAGGTGCTGAGCAGGCCGAGTTCAGTGGCTTTATTGAGTTTTTGATCTGAACACATCTGCCTGCAACTTCTGGGAACAACACTGATGAGAGCAGCATCAGGCCCTGAGACCAAAACAGGATCTTTACTTGAAAGTGTGCTATTGCTACTTCCACCACTGCAAATTTGGATGAAGATACATTTATGTGCTTATTTATGTAGAATGTTTGAATTAGTTAGAATTGTGTTAATTAGTTGAATTAATCATTTTGATATTTTATATTTGTCTTTGCTACACATAATACATAAGTTTCAGATTTTAAATTAATAATGAACCCTCTGATATAAAGGTTACTAGTCATGTAGGATCCATCCATCCATCAGTAGCTTGACTTACCTCACTGATTTCTCCTGACTCTTCAAGCTTTTCAACCATCTTTTTCCTCTCCTTGATCTCCTGCTGCACCTCTGCTAATTCCTCATCAACCTTGGCCTAAATGCATAACAAACACATTGTTTTTATTTCCTAATTCAAATGAAACTGTCACTGCATTACTAATAGTGCGGGCCACTAGTTATGTTAGTCATACCTTCCTTTTTCTCAGGCGGTTTTTCAAAGGGACACACTGATGGTTTTGGTGGTTTGATTTGATGCACAACACACACACACATGTCAGGTCAGGATGGCAAACCAGTTCCAAAGGACTTTTGTGCTGCTTGCACACCCTGTTGGTAAAATTCAGTTGCAGATGTGCTTGCAATCTCATTGTTTTTCAGTTTACAAAAGTCTTATCTTTCTTGACTAAAGCCTATGGTAAATGCACGTACGCAGGCAGTTTATTGCTAATGTTCATAGAGGTCCTCTCTTATGATATACTGACAAATTTGAAAACTGCAAATGTATACAACTGGCCACAATTTGTTTTGGTTTTGGTGAACCGGTTAGCATGCTGATGCTAGCGTTTAGCTCAAAGCCCCTACAGTCACACAGAGCAGCTAGTACACTCTTTTCTTGTTGATACATTATTCATTTGACCTCACCTGTCCTTCAGTCTGCTGACAGGATCCAGCAGCTCATGAGTCTTTAGGTCAGCGTCATCCTGGTGAGGTTTCAGGTGTTCAGAGCAGAGAGATTCTTCGCAGTACAGACAGGACTTGACTGCCTTTACTGTCTTCTCTCCAGGACACATGTCACACAAAATATCTTGTGTTTGGGCTCTTTCCTCTGGGACGTTCTGGATGTTTGTCTGCTTTTGCTCAATGAGATCTCTGAACATGACATTGACTCTTAATTTCGGTCTTTTCTGGTAGTTATGTTGACAGAGTGGACACTGGGTGACGTTTGTTGAATCCCAGTAAGTGTTTATGCAGACTTTACAAAAGTTGTGTCCACAGGGAGTGGAGACAGGGTCAGTGAAGCCATCAAGACAAATAGAGCATTTAAAACTGGAGGAGTGCGAGGAGGCCATTGTGTATATCACCTGTTCAAACGGAACAAGATAAAACTGTTGAGAGAAAATGTCTTAGCCAAGGTGTGTTTCCAATAAATTCACTAGCTATAAACAGTCAGACATGTCTATGCCAGGAGTATCTGCAGCAGCTTGCTGTGTGTATATAAGATTGTTGTTGATTTCACATGTTAATTGCTACTGGTAGTATGAAGGATTTCACACATTAAACAAGCTTATTAAAAAAAAAAAAAAGAAAGGGGGGAAAAAAAGCTAATTACTGAGTGAAACTGAGTGAAAGAATGAACACTGGAGCAGATGTATGCTAAATCAGTATCTCTGACTGGCTACTCCTATCTGATCATAATCATGTGATCACTTGACTGCTGCTCTTGTTTCTCTTTCACTTTTAAGTGGGAGAAAGTGACTTGAAAAACTTGTCACTCTTGTCCCGAGGTGTTAGATAAACATATTATTGAAGGACTATTGTATTTGAGCTATGTGACAGTTACCAGTGCCATACATTGTCAAATCATTGATAATTTAGTTCAGTAGAAGAAACCAGTTTGGCAGATCAGGTTGGTAGGTTTGTTTAAATCCATCCTGCTTGTCTGGTCGGTGATTTAAAGTTGTTTCTTCACCAGACTGAGGGAGGCGTCCCTCGTAGACACAGCAAAGTCCAAACTCTGACAGAGTTAACAACTGAGCTGAACTCTATATTACATCGTAGAGTAACCTCAAATCTCATTAGAATCAAATCTAAATACTTGTTATAACTATAACTTTAACTGCTTACCTTGTTTTTTACTTCTGGATTCTTCTGTTTGTTGTCAGAGTCTGTCTGGAAGCGAGAATTTCACCAGACTGGTGTCTTCATGTTGTTCACAAAAGCAGGTGTGGCCTTGGAATTTCCTTAAAGAGCATTTTGAAACTGAAAGAACCACTGATGATCACGTGTTGCTTTGAATCATTTCTTTTACATATGATATTTGTCATCCTGTTCCAACCAGTCACATGTCTCAAAACTTCTATTTACTTGCTGGGGGGAACATTTCTTTTTAGCTCACTTTTAGCTCACAGTTTTTGTTCCCTTGCATCACTGTGTGGTGGAAATCTGAAAATGAACAGTTGTCTTTATATATTTCAATAAGAGCTTTGCAAAGGATCAGTGTACAGTCACACAGAGTGTAATCGCAGACCGATATCAAACAAAGAGTGTACATGAACTTTATAGGAAGAGTGAAGAAGGAGGCATGGTCAGGATATGTGCGTGTGAACAATTATGGAAGCTAACTGTCAAAAGAAGCAGCTGCGTGCTCAAGGACAAAGACCCCCTAGTTTGTAACAGACAGTGCCAAATAAGGAGTGCACATTTAAGAACAGATCCACAGTACCTGATGAGAAGTTTACATGTGAAAACTGACAATACCAAATAAGGATTATCAATGTGAGGACAGATTCATGTCCAGGGTTATACAAAGTCAGACAATACAAAGTGCAAAAACAGGTTATACAAAGTGCAGAATATGATTTTTCTATTACACTGTGTTTGACTGTCATTTATAACCTTAAAAACACATTCTATTTGCTGTGGCACAGATGGTAAGTTAAGGAAAAAAAACAATAACTAATAGAAATTGCATCAATTTCTGATTTCTTGAAGGTGTTAAGTTGAAACCTATGCAAACATGCTAATGCACTATCATGTTAATACACAGACGGCTACATTTCTGATGGATATGTGGCTCTGCACCATGATTTAAAAGTTTCATTTTGTGTCGAACGTGTAAAGTAAATGCTTCTTTTTGTGTGGTTTTCTCTCCGGTAATAATTGTGAGAAGACTAGATGACCTGAGAGATGCATTCTGGGCTAATATAGGAGTTACAGCCAAGCAATAGTATTCAAACGCCTTACAATGTGAAAGTTGTCATTTAACGTTGAACCAGTTAGGTAAAAGATAGTTCTTAAACTGGTCATAATTTCAACACTTAACAGCACCACACACAAACACATACGTACCACTGACAGAGACATGATTGTTTGTAAAATGTTTACATAATGTGCTGCAACAAAGCATTTGTAATTTCTACTTATGAGTAGGTTTTTATTATGAAGGAAAAATCAGCAGAGCAAAAAACAGAAAACTGAGAATATGGCATATTGAACTGAAGCTACATTGCAAAGGTATTAAACCCATCCTGCGAAGACTCGAAATAATTTATCTGGGCTTTTAATTGCTCCAATTGGAATTTATGGTCCTCCAGTACTTCAGCCATTTCTGTAAATGAGCGTCTTACACGAGTATTGGTGTTCTCCGTGTAACTCTCTATTTTTTCCATCTCAGGTGGAGACAGGTTTGAGTGCATTTTCAAGCATTTCAGTCTGGCATCATTTCCTCTCAGGATCTCAAAAACGCTCTCGCGTTCTGTCTCAAATTCTGTCTGTAGGGCAAAAAATTAAAAATTGTGTAGTGATGTAGTAGTGTAGTTTTTTTCAAAACATTTAGAAATAATTCAGTAATATTGGATTAAATGACTCACCTGTCTAGCTTTTATAAATTCCTCAGTTAGCCGAACTTGCTCCTTCATCTTATCCTGTAATTTAGGAGTCACAATTGCAAGGTTGGTGGTGTTGCATTGCATTACCAAATATCTCATCATTTTATTTTGGTTAGAACTGGTTGCATTAAATAACTGTAAGAAACTGTAAAAATGAAATCTATCTTGTAGCCAGTCACAATTTAAAGAATAATACTCAATGAAACTTGACAAGGTAACCAACAATGTATTTACCAGATGTTCTTTTATTTCCATTGGGTTTGCAAAGCAAATCCAATGCATCATGCTCAACATGACACAGAGGCCTAGGGTGGTGGTTGCTCCTGCCATAACTGCTTTGGATGGAGGTTTAATTCAACTGTAGAGACAAAGAGAGTGACCACAGAGATGCCTAAAAAACAAATTACACAAAGAAATAAAATGAAATACAATGCACATTCTTTTGTATTTTACTGTTTATTTACTGTCATAATTGAATGAAAAATATATCAAAAAGACATTGATTGATTTTTTTGTCTTTAACAATAGAATGAATTGAAAAGGTGTATTGGATTTCAGTGTTGTTCAGCAGAGAGCAGCATTGGCCTTCTGATACTAAATACAAAACACTGTCTTTACTCTTCATGAGTAGATGCAGGGCAGCCCTTTCATTTTTGAGACAGGTTGTCTATGCCAAAATGAAAAACAATGAAAGGCTGTCTAACATGGCTACCATCAGTTCTGATTATACCCGTGCTTCCGCTCACAGGCTGTGATTGGACAGTGTACTGCTGGTGGCACCAGAGGTTAGATGATTACTAAAGTCAGTATAATTCATCCTGAGAAACATGAGTATCTGTATGAAATATAACTATTCAACAATATAAATGTATGATCAGAGTGATATGGAATGTACCAGGAATATTGCAACTAGTTATTTGATATTACTTTTGACAAAGGGGTTGTACATTCTTTTCATGCCACTTTTTACTTCTATTCCACTTGAACTGCTCAGTTGTATTATTATATTATAGCTTAGACTCATTATGATAATTATTATTTTTATTATTAGGCTTATTATCATTATTTGGTGCAGCTATCATAGCTGCTGTTATAACACTTTTACACTTACAAGTATCACTATTACTATTATCATTATAACAACCAGTCTTGTGGTGTTTAAATACAGCAGTATCAACAGCTCTCTTTCTCCTCCCCCATTTCTCTCTTCTCAACCATCTGGTCAAGACCGAGGGCCGCCGCCCTGAGTCTTTTTCTGTTGGTGGTTTCCTCCTGTCTCTGTTTTCCTCCCCACTGTCACCAAGTGCTGCTCATTGTGGAAACTGTTGGGTCTCTCTCTTAAGTTCCCAACCTTGAACTAATGTATGTTATGATTTGGCTCAAATAAATGACTAAATTAGTCAACTGATAGAAAATTAATTGGCAGCTATTTTGGTAATTATTGAAGTCATTTTTATGCAAAAAATACCAAATATTTCATAGTTCCAGCTTCACATATGTGATGATTTGATGCTTTTCCTTTTAATTATTAAAAAAAAAAAAAAACTTGCTACACACAACAGTGATTACATAGCATACTTAGTAAACACATTCTAGATACAAGTTATAAATCTTTTGTTGATTACAAAATATTTACCACACTACCTTCTCAGTTTCACTTCCTTAAAAAACATGAGACCGTTGCTATGGCAATTTCACCCTGAATATATGACAGGAAATGTATTTAACTAAGAGTTTCAGAACATCAGCACTTGGTGAGCTGAGAGGTTTTTTTTTGTATTTTTCATGCAAAAATAACAAATATGTTATTATATATTCCTTTTGATTATACAAACTATTATACAAACTTATATATACTTATATATACAAAATATATATATATATATATATATATAAATCCCACTTTTCTGCAATGAGTACTTTTAATTACTTATTAGTATGAGTATTATGAGTATTTTTAGAATTTAGCATTAGTACTTTGACTTGAGTAAATGATCTGAATACTAATACCACTACAAATAGGCTTCAGCCTGCACCTTTCTGATGATGATGATGAGTGTAGGATTGATTAGTTAATATTGTTGCTTTTTTGTTATTGCCGCTCTCTTCTTAGTTGTTTTCTGGTCGTGTGTGAATTATTCAGATTCTTTCTGTGATTAAAAAAGAAAAAACACAATGAACAGGAGTTCAGATGTCTCAGGCATAAGTATGTCTGACAGGAAGTGAGCCAGACAGGTGCCAAACCAATTTTCTGAAGATGTCTTGTCTGATAGGGCATGTATACATTCCTAGGTATCATATGGTTGCAACATTTTTCTGCAACTTACTCCAGTTATAGTTATAACAGTGTCAGCATCCAATTGTATAACACTTGTTTATGTAAGGCGTCAGTAAAGAGAGTGCGCTGGAGGATGTCTTACACTGAGGATGTTTATTGAAGCTTGGCCAAGGATAATGGAGAAACCATCGATACACGCCGCCTCAATTCTGCACAAAAGGTCCCCTGTGGTTAGTCTTTATCCAGTTCCAAACATTACCAGAAATAACCTACGCCCCATATTAGATCAAATCTCTAGCCCACAGAGGGATGTGTGAGCATTCTATTGGTCCATTGACCATAAACAAGTAAACATGATTTACACATGCGCCTGAGCGTCTCCTCCTGTAAGATTTAGTGCAGTAACTGTGGCACTATGACCTGAGGGCCGCATGTTGACCCTTCACCCTGAACCATTCATCTATGGTGAATTCTCCTTACATATAACTCCCTTACGTATTGGTCTGTAACTTCTAGTTCAGTGCTAGTCTAGATTGGCTTGTAGTTTTTTGTTGTTTTTTCTAACTGCAATCTATTTTGGTCTTTAAGTAGTTACCCATCAATGATAAGAATCTCCCTATCACAAAATAGTATAGTGAATGTACCTACGTATGATTGTGTGAACAATATGAGTCATATGAGGATCGCTGTGTGGGAGTTGTGCATAACAAGAAGTACAGATGGCCTTATCCTGTACCTTGTGAGATTGCAGTGGAACTATTGTCTGTGTATGAGGGTATAGAGTCGGTCTAGAGTTGCTCTGGTCTGTTCAGTTTCTTTGGAAAAACTTATCTGAATCCACAAGTTGCAGTTTCAGTCTCTTCTATAAGGCACCCTCCAGAGACACAGCACCACCAGAACGAAAGAGGTCTGTTTTAACTTTATTAAACACCCCTATTGGTCAACCTGTCATGACACAGCAGTTTTTCACTTAGTAACACTAGTGGTGCAGTATTTATGTTTACAATTGTTGGAAAAATTGTGATACTTTATGATTAACATAACCATCTTAAAGGGAAACTGTCTTATCCTGAATAGAACTTTTCCATTATTGTGTCTACTTTTTAAGACAGGAGTTGTCAGAGAGGAGCGCAGTGACCTTCGCTGTTCCTCCTAGCCACTACACCCAAACATTAGCTATGAGAAGGCATGAATCGAGTCTCTATTGTGTCTGTCTCATTTCAGCAACAATGTAAGGTCACTCTCACATATTCTGTGTATAAATTCTGTGTGAATCTGAAATCTTGCATTCCCCGTTGGGGATCCCCTTGGCAAATATTTAGATTGGGTATTTTTCTACCATTATTTTTCAGGTTCCTCAAATAATGACATCAAACCTGGGTCTCTTCGATAATTTGGGTGCTCTTAATTTTATTCACCCGTGACAAGACCCTGGTGATCGTGAAAGCTGAGACCATAATCTAATTTAGCATGCATGCACATGTCATCAGTTCACCAATTACTTATGCCACTGTGGCCCTGTTCAGACGTGGCATAGTATAGGTGTATAGAGGACGGATTTGAGGTCTGATCACTCAGACCACACTCGGAGGTGGTCTGGGCCACGTGGTCACAATCTTTTAGCAGTGCAATGCAAATGTGTGCAAATATAAGACATAGAGTCATACTCATGCATAGAAATATGTAACCCATCACTGTAAAACACCATGTAATCAACAAATATCAAGACCCTCCACCACTACAAAGAGGTTAAAAGTTAGGTTACACGAGAGTATATATGATGGATTGAATTTTTCCCACTACAATTATGAAGTGGGGTTTGCAGTTTCAGATGTAAACTCCAACAACAACTGAAAATAGCATAAAGATCTTTAGTGCCAATAATAAAGACCTGTGTTAATCTGGAGAGTAAGACTAACTCCACAATTAGAAGAGAAAATGAAAAATACAATCACACTAAAATGTCCCCTAACACTTGGCACCTGTTTCATAACACACTTAAAACACTGCAGTTTGTAGTGGAACAGATCAGAATCGTCCCTGAGAATATGACCCATATTAAACCAATAGGTCATGATGGGCAGGGTATGGAGGTGCGCTCTCTCAATGTGTTTGCTCAGAAGGAAGTCATGTCAAAGAAGTTGTATTTTTTAAATTATTTTTCAGTTGCTCTACAAACTAACGCAGGTTTTTGTTTATTCCTCTGAAATGTTGCCCATGATGCTTTGATTGACACCACATACCTATATCTTAGTTTACTTATAATTTCTGACAACACACTTAATGTTAATATATGCTGTATATTTGCTTTAAACAACTGGCATCATCGTGTCTTATTCTCTCCCATTCTGTGCTCACACACTGTATTTCAAAACAGCTGAATTCCCAATAAAGCTGTACTCAATTACATGTTTTCCTGTTTCTATTGTCAGACAACGGGACAAACAAACAATAGTGACTGAAACGCGGCCAGTAAGACTACATGTTAACTTCCAATTCATTTCCAAGCTGCTGCTAAAATCATCAGGAACATTATTAAACAAATGAGACAGTGATGTGCTGTATATCCTCAGAAAGTGATCTCTTTACTTACCTCAACTGCAGAGGGTCACAGGTCTTTATCTGAGCCAGGCTTGTATTAGAAGCAGGTCTTTGTTTCCAACCCTCTTTATATGACTTGTGGTCAAAGCAGTGTTTAAGTGAGAAGCTTCGTTTTCTTCGTTTCCCTCCAGTTTACCGTGTTAGTTACTGCATTCTGTGTTAATACAAACTCACTACTTCCTGTATTTGTTTCAAATTATAAGCCCTCAAGCGTTTAGGTGGACAGAAACCCTTTATTTCTTAACAAAGCTTTTATTGTCTCATTTATGGTTGCTGGCCTTTCTGTTGTTTACATGCTATTTAGATCTGCTTGATTTTTTTTTGCTGTCCCTCCCTAATTTTATTCCAGCAGCTGCTTGTACAAGTCCACTCTCAAACACTCTCACACACTCACACACTAAATTCGTGAGGGCTTAGGACTGTCCCACTGTCAAACCATCCAGGGCATGAGGGGCTCCTCTAGCAGACATTTTGAGCCCTCATGCACACTTTCCATAAGCCCGCATAAACATAAACTCACAGATCTCTTGTTCTCCCTCAGACGCCGCTGGGATACAGATATGCAGGAAGGAAGCATGATAACAGCGTCACTCAGAGCTCCCTTGTACAAAGCATTACATATTAAAGTGGAATTTTGTGTTCACAGAGATTGTGACTTTTTGCAGGGCATTTGTTGTTATTCAGAGTAGTAACCAATCTTTGCCCTTGCAGCAATCCACCCATGCATGCTGAGTATTTGCACAGTCACACATTACGCATATTGGTAACATGACAGTGGCAAGTCTGCCAACGTTTGATACTTTTTTTTTGTTTGATACTTGTGTTTTAAAACCTTGCTCTCCCCCACGCTTGCTCATTCACACTAGAATGTCTACAAAAACAGCAAAGGCAAAGATTCTGTTTTTTTTTAATGATGCATTTGCTTAAACATGGGAATGTGTGCATTAGTTGATGCTTTGACAAATTTTGTATATACTGAATGACTGTAGGAGCAAAAATGATCATTACCATATTTAGACATGGAATATTCTGCTGCTGAAAGATTATTCTGCTGTCTTCCTGTGTGCAAGCTTTCAACTGACCTAGTACACGGTTGGGCTTGGTACCTGTCATTAACTTGATACAAAACTTTCTTTGTCTGTGTGGGAACATTCCATTCTCATCACACTTATCAGCTCAAAGACGAGATAGCTGCTGAGCTCAAGGTTAGCGTATTTGCCTCCCTTGTCTCCCTACGCTATGATTTAACTATAAATATGTTACTGTACTTCTAAGTCAGACTCACCAAATGCACTCTGGTGTATGAGCTCTGTCCTTTCAGCTGAAATAGTTTGACTCTGTTATACTTTATTATTCAGTTTTGTTTTTATTATTCTCATGGACTGAGATCCATTAAGTAAATGTATTTCATTAGTAAGGGGTGATGTGTGTCTGTGTATGGATTTAAGTACAGCAGGGTCCAAAAGTCTCAGAGCACTTGAATGGGGAAGTGGCCTCAGACTTTTTGACACTACTGCAAGTGGAACCCCTTCAGAATTGGGTGGTATCACATTCTATAAAGTCTTACTGCTCATATCTGTTTTATCTGGTCAAGCTTAGAATACATCACAACATTTCCATCCCAATCACCTGCAACAATGCACCACTAGTGGCAACGAGTAAGTCATTTTTCAAGGACCGGACCATTAGGAGGGTTCAACTGTAAAACTGTCCCCCTGCCCTTCACTCTGGGTCAGTCTACTGCCTCAGACCCACTCTGTGTCAGTTGGTTCACCGTATCCTGGGATACTAATAAACTCACATCACTACAACAGTATTATAGATACTACAGGTAGACTACAACACTCACATGCATCATATGTGCTGGTAACCTCTCTGTGTGGGAAGGTCTATTGTGTGCATAGGCCAGAAGACCAGCAGGGGAGGGGCGGCCAGACACACAGGAGAAAATGATACACTCGCTTTCCTACTAAGGTGGATGTCTATAGTCACCCCAGGGGGAAACTGTGGGAGTGAGAAAATGAGCGTGGGCCAAGAGATATGTGATCCCATAATGTATAATTAAATATATCAGTTTTGGCCTCGTTTAAATGGTCATTTATTGTGTAACTGTAGCTTGACACTGTAGCTTGAGGAAAAATAGTATGCTCCTAGAAACAAAAGTGCATGCAATATAACCTGCAAGAAGCTTGGGTCACGCTGACCCCAGTGTGCAAGGTATGTGAACATCAGTCCTGCAAAAAGGTAAAACCACTCCATGCTGGCGTTGAGAATATTACGCCACGAGAGGCACATTGGCAAGCCTGAGTGTAATAGTACAAAGATACTAAGGAAACATTGAGGCCAAAACGGTGCCAGGTTGACTAGTAATACGTCCCCACACAGACTGACTGCACACACACTAGCGATTATCCAAATGTATTTCAAGCATCTTTTACCAGCAGAGCATATGCCTCATCAGCATGTTATAGATGTGTTGGCAGTCATGTAGGGAGATCTGCTGCTGATAATTAAATGACTAACCAAAACTTAGGAAACTTGGAGACGTAATCTCACAGGTGGTATCAGTAGATACACAATGTGAGCTAGGAGGTCGCCATGACCCGGCTGCAATTAAAGGAGGAACTGTTAGTGCAAAACAGGATCATTTTTGACTTAAAATGTAATTCTTCAAGGACATCTGTATAGGACTGTTCTCCAGATATGAGTGTGTTACTATCCACTCGTGGGATTGTCCTGAAAGGATCTTCCGCTGCCCAGAAGCAGGTATAAATGTCTGCTATACGCCGTTAGTTAGTTAGTTAGTTAGTTAGTTAGTTAGTTGGTTGCTTAGTTTTGCTCAAGGCAACCTGGTTTGCTTGTACTCTGTATTGGTGCAAATGAACCTCCATGAATGGAGAAGAGTCAGTAGTCATGTGAGTGAGGGTTGTGGTACGTCACTGTTTTGCATTTAGTTACAGTAACAGCTCAAACTTTAGTTAGATAAACATTTCATTTAGGGAAAGGGAAAATCCACCACACACTGAATAACAATTAATACATTCATGTTTTTCTATATGTGATATTTTGATTAACATTGAAAAAAATACGTTTAATGAATTACTAATGACATGAGTAGTACAGTGACAAATTGTTATTATTATTTAATTTGCAAAAGTATTCAACCCCTTTCACTTTGACAAACCTCAACTCAATTACGCACACAGTGTTACTGTCAGGTTTCAACATAACACACCTGTTTTGGAGAGGACCCTCAGTTAGTTAAAGAAACATGAGGCTAAGACCTTCCAGTAAGTAAGTAAAAGATCTATATCTACTTATATAAGGAGAAATATACAAAACATCAGCCTCTGCACCACACCAGGACGGTCCACCATTAACTGGTGTTATAACAATGTGGTTTTTATTTCCTGTCAAGACGTTACCCTCTTCTTCCTCTCCTTTGGGATTACTGGCGTATTGGACCAACCTTAAAGGTGCATGCTGCCACCTACTGTACCAGAGTGTGCAACATCATGACTTTATAAAGAATACCTGGATAATTATTCATTTGGAATCTTGACTAGGAGTAGTTGACTGCAATTACACATAAAGAAGAAGTCAGGCAACAATGGTTCCCATATATTCAGTTTATTCTGGTTCCACATATACAGAATTTTATTTGCAATAGTTGAATTTCATCATTTATCAAAAGCTCAGGCATCTATTCCCAATATTCCATAGTATATCTTCACAATAAAAAATCCAGTGATATAATTTGAATGACAGTTTCTGCTGATGCAAGAAAGGTGTGAAATAAACCAACAGGAGTAAACAAGAACATAATGTAACCCCAACCCTCCACTTCTCAAAGTGTAATGGTTACACATCGAATGTTGTACATGTATTTATTAAAAGTTGCAGGTATATCAAAGCATTTCACATCTCTGCCAAAACTAAGTCTTTCTCTAACATCCTGTTTTATGTCAAACAATTAAAAGGAATTCATGATTTCAAGGCCAGCTCATAGAAACATTTCAGTCAAGCTGCTAGAGTCACTAACTGACCTGGAAGTTACAGTTCATCGTGATTCTCCTCAAGGAATTTGATTAAGTTTTTCATTTTTCCCAGTTTGTTTTCGATTTCCTCAATTTCTGCACCTAGCTTCTCATTTTTACTGTCTATATAGGCCTTGGTTTTCTGTATGTAGCCTTTGACATTCTCCAGATATGTTTTCACTGGGGGGAGGTCATCATCTGAGGTCATGGTTTTCTTCACAAATACAATCATTTGGTCCAGTATGCTAATAGTTTCATCCATGTGCTCTGAACTGCTGGCCATTTCTGTCTTGTAGTTTTCCTAATGGGGAAAAATGAAACAGCTTCATGACATGACACAAAATCAGTCTAAGTTTGTGATGTTGTGTTATTCCCACTGCAACATAAAGTCACTTATGAACAAATCTCAGTTATGTCATCTTGTGACAGTATTACATCATTAAAGTTACTCCAGTTCAATTTGTTGTGAACAACTGACTCACCTTAATTCTGTCTGCTCTTTTTTGTGCTTCCTCAAGTTTTTCCTTGAGCTGTTCCTGCAGATCCACAGAGAGAGTCAACATTCAGTTACACTTGGGGACATGTGAGCAAGGCAGCAGCTTGAATACAGTGCATATTGTTACAACTGCAAGTAAAACAAATACTGAAATATCGTGTTCTTGTAATGACTCAGAAAACTTGTGAACCTATGAGAATAAAAGAATTAAGAAGATTCCAACAGTAAACTTTCTCATCATGACTCATCATGGCTGTAGACTTAAACATGACATTATTTTCTATACAAAGCAAAGTTAGGCAACTATTCATTTACCAGTTGGTTCTTGTCCACCAGTGAACTTGCGACGCAAACCAGACAGCAGAGTGAAGATGAGGAACAGGCCTCTAGTTGCTGTGAAACCAGTCGCCGCTCTGCTGCTGGAAAAACCTGCTGCTGCCATCACTGCTGTAAATTCAAATTGTTTAAATAATGGAAAATAAACTACTGAAACTGCAATTGATCTTACATTTGTTTTTCTATCATTAATTGTAAAATATAAAGGCAACAGTGTGTAACATTTTCTGATCTTACCTGTTTTGTAAATGGAAGGAGAACTGCTGTACAGGTGATGAACAACGATATGATCAAATGACACTATGCAAAAAGCTTTATAACTCCTGGTGTCACCGCCCCCATTGCACAGCTTATCTGTGAGTGAGTGTATGG